AATTTTAGATCATACAAATAATTAATGGTATGAGATAAATATATAAAAACGACATTAATGAATTAATAATTGAGATTATTTTGTCTGACTTTTATTTCAACCTTTCACTAATGGAATTTTTTTAAATATAAAAAATATGTAAATGAAATTTAAAAATTGTATATACATAAATAATAAAAAATTAAAGTACAGTTTAACAGTTTTGAATGCTGATTATGATAAAAAATAATTTTTGTTCTAAAATAGATATTTTGAATTTTCTTATCATACTGTTGAATCATACAAATTTGCACTTACAGAGTTAAATTTTTCAGAAGTGCTTTTCTATTAGCTATAATGAACTTGTGTTCACTATATTGCGATTAGAGCAGAAGAATGAAGAAATCTAAATAAAATAATTAAAAATATATGGGAAGACTAATAAAAATTCTAAAGTAATAAAAATATTATAAAATAAAAACCTAATTAATAATTTCAATTATTACGTAATTAACATGATTAATTACATATAAATTTTTTAATCTAAAACATGTGTCTGTAATTGACTCACGCATTTTAACCACCCCGAAATATAATTTACAGTTTGTAATAATAAAATAATTTTATATTTTCCTGGTGAATTTAATTGCATTATATTGGTTAAAAATGAGTACTTAGTATACTATCATCTTTAATAAATTCTTATTTATTGAGTTTAATTTTCAAAAGAAATGAAGAACAGCAATGTTCCACTTTCAGTGTTTCTGTATTACGAATTTCAAATGAATTAATAATTGTTTTTGCTATTAAAATATGCTACCGCAGCATTATTTGCATTGAATTAATATTATATTATATTTCCAAGGATTCCTTTAGTCTCGCGAACTTAAATACAAATTTAATTATTTTATGGTTCTAAAAGAAATGACAGCAAACTAATTATCTCTTTCATATAACCATAAGTAATTACCTCTTCCATTTAATTTTCTTGTCAAAGAGAAAAACAAGCTCATTAGTTTTTGTTAATTTGAAATTGATCTATAATCTTAATTTTATCCTTTAGAGTTTAGGATATTTAACTTAAAATAATTAAAATATTACTATAGCGAATTTAATACAGTAATTATTTAGATATTATGTGCACAATCTATTGGTGGCGTACCTTCCGTCTATATTTAATAAAATTGTAATGAATAACTAACTTATTTTTACTCTGAATAGTGAACAAAATATTGCTGATAGAAGAAATTTTTAATTATTAAGTTACATAATTTAGTAATTATTTCTTTGTTTAATTTATGAGTTTAGAATAATTCCAAACAAATGTTAAATAAATAGTTTGTTTTTGTATTCTTTTCTAAAGAGTTCGTCGCTCTTTACCCTTCAGGCACATTGTTTGCGTTATATTTATTTGTTAATTCTCCTTATGACTATTCTTCAGAACAGATCGCAAATATCCCTGTACTAAATTTCATTTGAATTCTCTTATAAGCAATACTCGTATTCTAAAATGTTAAACTCACTAAAAACCATGAAAAACTTTAAGCTCATTTTTTATATATACCCAATAAAATTACATTCATATTATAGCAACACGCTTAAATTTAAAACTCGTTCAAAAGTAACCATTTCTAATGACACAAAATGAGAACTTCTTTGGAATTTACACATTTACGTATATTTGTAGATTTTTTGTAGATTTGTATAACGGAGACAACAGTGCACCGCGACCACGTATAAGGATCTATTGTGGGCCTTCCGCCTCAAGTGCGGTCCATGCCCTACAACACCGCTCGAAATCCACCCTTTTGATTAACTCAAGCAACTTGTGAGGATCGGAAGGCCGTAACCTGCGTATATGTTCAAATTGTAAGAAAATCTTTTTTTTTTTTAATTAATTCATTTTCCAATTTGTGACATCCCTGGAATTATTACTGTCAAAGCAACAAACCAACAAGTTGTGAGATGTCAAATCATAAGTTAGTTTTGCAAATATAGCAACTTGTGATACAAAACAAACAGCTAATTTGGTTCAATTTTAAAAAACACGTAACAAAGTTTATTATTTTTACAAAATAAATTTATATAATTGTTAGGAAAATTATAAATTAATGGGATATATGTGAGGTGCCTATAAATTTTTAGTGCTCTCGAGTAAATGCGATAGATTTTTGAAGAAAAACATTGTGCATATATCCGCGTTCGACTATATTATATTTAATTGCGCTGCTTCTACTTACATCAGCATTATCACATAGTAATTGGCTATGTCTTTCATAAAAATATTAATTGAAATGATTATATGATAATTGTATCACATTAACAATTTTAAAATTTAACAGACATCAAACACGAGTCAATGATAATCGATTTTTAATGTTTATAATAAAATTAATTTAATATAAATTATTTCAAAGCAATCTCTGTGAAGCTAGAATGTTATTTAGTAAAAATGTGTAATTTAAATTCTATTCGCTGAAAAATGTTAGCCTAAATCTTAGTTTTAAGGACTCGAAAATTAGGAATATTCTTTAACTGAAACATTTAAATTGAATAAGAAAAACTTTTGTATTAAACTAGTTTTTGTCAAACGTTTGTATTAAATTAGTTTTCAAAACATCAAAAGATTTTGTGTAGTTTCTTTTTTAATGTTTATAAAAAGAACACATTTAAATATTATGCAGGATTAAAATTTCAATAAGGTGCACGTACAATAATAATAAGTTATGATGTTTTATAATACTAAAAATCTGGTTTTATTTACTTCTAATTCAAACAAGTGCAAAGTTCATTCAATGGTTAGCAAAAGAGCACATTTCCTGTAATTAGTAAATTGCATTTCTTTTTTCTAATTTTTTTGGAAATATATTTGATTTTTATATCTAAAAATATAATTATAAATGTATCTGACGTCATTACCAAGCTCTTTGCCTCTCAACACATTATATTTGTATGTTACGTTGATAATAAGTTGTTGAATAAGAATAATTGCTGAATGCATTCAGTGTTTAAAATTGTAACCTTTTCTAATATTGTTCAAACCACAACTGATATTTCAAACTATATAATAACAAAACTAAAGAATAATTTCTAATATGCGTTTACACATTTACTTACAACTAAAATTTTACAATAAAATTTGTTATGTATTTTATGCGTAAATTTTTTTTATTTTTCTCTTTTTATTTTTTTGACAACTAAAATTTAAAGTCATAAATTTACATTAATGAAGTTATGGAATATAATATGAGTATAAGGTACACCCAGCAAACATTTTAAAGTTTATTCAAATTGACAATAGAGGTAGTAGAATTAAAGGGGATTAATGACATTTTAAATAAGGAAACTATACTCGTACTTACTCGAAATATAGCAGCCGCCTGTTAAAACAACCTCTAAACTTTATTATTACTTTAAGCTACATCGTAAAAAGTTTACAAAAAAAGTGGTTTTTTTAAAAAACATTTATGGGAAGATTTTAAAATTCAAATTGTTAAAATCGTTTGCATATAATTTTAAAGTTTGACAACTTACTTCCAAACTTTATTATACATAATTTACACCGAAAATAAAAAAAAAGTAAAAAAAAAACGGTTTATAGCTGAAAAATATAAAATCACAAAAGCGAACCTAGTAACACTCCATTCTGAAACTTTTTAAAAAGCATTCAGATTGTTTTCTAAGTTCTTTCCCCTTTTTCAAATGTAACTAAATACCTCATCGAAATTTTTGCATAAATAATAATAAAATCGATACTTTGTTCAAATTGTCAGAGTTTATACTATATGAAATTCATACTGCGAATTTGAATTGACTAAATGAAATATTCAAGTAATAAAAATTATTATATAAATATAAAATAATTTATGCGACCCGATATAGTCGGATACCAGTGAGTTAGAAAATCTGCTGATATTATTTTATGTATTACAAATAATTAATAATGTTGCCATATTTGTCTACTACTATCAGTATATATACAGTGTAATTTATCAAATCTCTCAATGTGGAAAATATTTTTATTTAATATCTCTTACTCCTATTTTAGACTCACTTAACAAGATCACTTGACGGTCAACTAAAATTTTTATTATTACTATTAATTTTTATTTTACATTTATAGCAGAATCATCTTAGAATATTAAACTGCTTGTTGGGATGCATTCGTTCATACAGTGTTATGAATAATATTATAATGGTGTAAATTTATAAAACAAAATTTTAGACTGCTCAACTATAGTTCGGCTTTCTTTATACTGCTAATATACTTTTCTCTTTTGTGACAATTTGCACCTTTTTCATTTTTGTTTACCTTTTTACCTTTTTATTATATTATTATAATTATTATTGTTTTAATATTTTATTTTTTTACTTTTTAATATTTTGTATACAAAAAAAACCGCTACTATGAGACAATAACAGATTTTTTATTTGTCTTAGCTCACAAATAAAAATACGGTTGAGAAGGTGCAAAATAAAAAATTATTTTTAAGAGAAAAAAAAACAAAAAACAAAAAAAAATTAAATTAAAATCGAGAAAGAAACAGAAAAAACACACAAATTGCAAGTATCAAAAATTCAACACCATCTTTAAAATATCAAAAAGAAACAAATAAATAAAACAAAATAAAATTTACCTGTACTTACAGGTGATTTACTTACCTTTACAAAAAAAAAACAAAATTTTTGTTTTTTTTTTTTTGTTTTACTGTTTTTAAATTTTTCGTTTTCACGTATTTTTTTCTTATAAACTTTCTGCTTTATGTTGTCGCTACCGTTTTATAATTCTATTCGTTTCTGTGACTGTGTGTTGGTGCAACAACAACAAAAATAAAAAGCTATTCTCATAATATTAACGAATTTTTTTAAACTTGTATTTTCTTTCTTTTTTTATTATTGTTTTTTTCTTAACGTACTCATTTTTTCATTCATTTCGCTTGCTATTTGCTATTGGATAATATTCGTGAATTAAAACTCTATAGTTTTATAAAGTTGATACAATGTCTAATGGATTGTCAGTTTTGTGTTAGCTAGATTAGTATTCGGTTGTTAGATTTAAATATATTTGAGAAAAAAAATATTTTTTTTATTGCAGAAATTTTGTATGCTACAAGGATTAAAGCTCACTTTGTTCTATATCAAAGGAATACCTAAATACATACATTTTGATTAAGGATTAAAACGAATAGAGTAAAAGGTATGAAATGAGATTTATTTTTGTGTTTAAATTTTTTTATATTAAATTTTGTGATTTTAATAGAAAAACTCAAGTGATTTTAAAATTTTATAAATAATTATTTAAAAAAAATTGAGAAAACAAAATTAATGAAGGAAATAATTTTCAATGTAGTCAAATAGGACTAAAAGGATTTAAAAAAATTTAGAACTCCTTGAATAAACTATTGTGAATATAAAAAATAATTTAGAATAGAAAATACTTTTTTTTAATGAATTTTATTATTAAATAATTTTTTGTGAAAATAAGTGGAAATGTGCAGAAAAAATTTTAATTTAAAAAATATGCAAATTCGAAAGTTTTAATGTGATTTGACTTTGAGTGTATATTAAATGAAAATAATTCGTAAATAAAAGTGTGAATTACAATACAATTTGCGCTTTTTGCAAAAAATTTTTTTTAAAATTTATTTAAATTATTTTCTACCATTTTTAAAAATTAAATTTTCAACAATTTTTCTTTAAAACACACATTGACAATTTGAAATTTCATTATGTGTTTTTCGTTTTCTATCACATATTAAGTGTTATTCTCTCTAACATTCATGTTATTCAAACAATTTTCTTGTAGTCATAATGTTGTTATATAACGTGTAATAATACTCTCTCAAAATTAAAAAGTTACGATATTTTTTCAGAAATGATTTTTATTTAAAATCTTTATATTAAAATTTTTTTTTATTAATTTATTCAATTTTTTTAGTTAATGTTTCTAGGTGTATTTCTGTATATTAAACATTAAATTTTTGTATTCTTATTAAAGATAAGCAAAAGCTTGTTTTCAAAAATTGATTTTTTGATTTTCTTAATATATAAAATCTTATTTAAGAATAAATTAGACCAAAAATATTTTAATATTATATTCCATATAACATTGTAGTTAAAAAGCGCAGCACATTAATTTCTGTAATTTTGATTTTTGAATTAGAACTCTTGAGAAATGAAAATTCTGGATATCGTGTTTTGCGAATACAAATACAATATTCGTGTATTGATGTGTATTTGATTAGAGTAATAAACATAAATGTTGTATAACATTTGTTTTCACAAATATAAATGAATACATCCGGCCCTTTACAAGCCACACTTATGTACGTAAATGAGGCAGTAGAAATAAAAAACGACTTCATTTAAGTTTTTTTAATGTGATTATAAGGGAAAAATCAGATATAAGCAATGAAAAATGTGCATTTAAACATTTAATGTGTTTAAAAGCGATTTTATACGTAATTCATTGCGTTATTTTAAAATTTACAATAAGCATACTTGAGGGTCATTAGAATATGCAGTTACACACATGTATTAATTATTAATGTTCAACTTAACACAAGCGGATGGAAATAGGCAGTTAAATTAATATTATATTAATCTCTAATTTGGTCACTTACCATTTTAACCCGAACGTTTGGTCACATAATTTGCTGTGAAAATTGAAAACATGCAGTCATTTGACTTATTTTTAGTGGTTCTTTTGAAATGTTATTTGAATTTATTTTAAAATGGAAATTTAGTTTGTACAGCCTACAAAAATTTTAAATCAATTTACTTATTTTAGTATATTACTATGTCTCTTTATTTGCCCTATGTATATATCAGACATCCATTGCTTGAATCAAGCATTATACCATACTCGATTACCTTTTTAAACATTCCGAATATAAGAATATGAAATTAGAACACAATCATCTGCATTTTTATTTTATACTATCGCGGAGGTCAATGTTTTCTTCAAATGTTTTTTATTTTTGATAAAATTACTTCAAGAAGATGGCGCACTATTAATTCAACGCATAAATAGTATAACTTTTTGATATGATGCATACATAGGTTGGAAAAAGCAAATATTTTAGAATTCTAAATGAATTATGAAGTACTTGACCTAATTCTAAAAAATTATGATGCATAAATTTAACAAAAATCCATACATCGTACTCTGTACTTAACTTTTTTGTAAATCAATAATCAAATAAATCGTGATTAACAAATATAAAAAGGCAAAAAAAAAATTGAATTAATTATTATTTTTTATACTAAGAAAAATTGTTCCCATGACGACACCGCAATTTTATATTCGGCAACATTTTTTATATTCCGCAAATAACATTTACTTTATTTTTTCTTGTACACAACATACAAAAGTTAATAAATTTTATATTGTGCGTTATTGTGGTGCTCTGGTATAAGAAATTGCTGGTCATTCAAATTTAGCATAAATTTTTCTTTATATAAAATTTAACATTAAAATTTTTGTTTATAAAATCAGTTTAAGTTTGAGTGTTATAGCAATATTTTGTTAAATTGTGTACACAATATTATATTTGTAGGTACTCACATATACATACATATACTTAAATATTCAGTAATATTTCCTTTTAAAAGATTTTTTTTATTTAAAATTTACATAATAATAGTTTTAATTTTAAAAAATATTTAATAAAGTATTTTTCACTATTGTTGCACGAATATGAAAATAGGCCGCTTTTTTTCATATTTTATGGTTAAATCAATATTTAGATACAGATATTTACAGTAATAATATACATATGAGTATGCCTATATGTACTAAAGGCATGCATAAGGTTTTCTTCATGACGTAATTAGTGATTTTATTTACCTATAATTCTGTGATTTTATTTATGTGTAAACAGTCTAAGAAACAGTTTATGGTTTTTATGCTAGAGATTTAAAATTTAGGCAAGAAAAGTTTAAAATCGATTTATTACTTCAATTTTTTACTAGATATGTATATAAGCTCTAAATAATGAATTTATTGTGTCCGGAAATATTACGTATAATTAATTATAATAATTTTTATTTATTTTGATTTCATAATAAAATAATCATGAAAAAATTGTAATTAAGTTCGGAAGAGCATTCGATATACAAGTTTTTATCACAACAAGTTTGCAAAAACAAGCTACAAACAGAGACCGAGAAAAAAAGGCGGAAAGAAGAAAATATTTCGTAAATACAATGTATATATTTTTGTTAAAGAAAAGTGTCAAGTTCATCAAATAAAAGTCAGCTGTTTGCCAAATTATGTATTGTTAATGTCAATATTTTTAAAACAAATCAGTGAATAAAGCAAAAATGCTAATAAGAAATTTTGAGGAAATGCTAATATGTAGTGTAGTAAATCTTGCTCAATGTTACTATTATAATTATACATGTATATGCAAATGCATACGTACAAACATACGTACCTATATACAAAAACCTTTAACGTAAAATTTTTAATTTCGACTATTTTTCTTAAATTAAAATATAAGAAGTGAAAAGAAAACTTCCTTTTATTCGGAAATCGGAATAAAATACTTTTTTATTTTTCGCTAATATATTTCGTGCGCTACATACGCACTTTATCAAAGCTGATTTTCTTCTCATCTTTGAGAAATCAGCTTTGATAAAGTGCGTATGTAGCGCACGAAATTATTAGCGAAAAGTAAAAAAGTATTTTATTCCGAATAAAAGGAAGTTTTCTTTTCATACCAATAATAAAAAAAAAAAAAAAATTGTATTTCGGAAAAATTATCAACCATTGAAAAAAATTTTTTAAATATAAGAAGTGATTTTAAAAATAACTTGTCAGAAAATACCTGCCATAAATTGGAATTAAAATATTTAAGTATTTTATTAGCACTTTATAATAATTTAATTAATTCAAGATTTTCTACTTGAAATGAATATTTATTTACAAATTATAAAGATTTTATTGAATCTAAAATTGGTCAACTAAAAAGCATTATAGTATTTTGAGATAGACTAAGTACAAAGCGTTATATATAATTTTTTTTAAGTATATACTAACTATTAAGTATATAATATTAAGTATGTATATTCCAAAATTAGTTCATTCCAAAAATTACAAATTTAACGTAAGTACACATTGGCATACATGGACGCAATATACTATTATATGTTTCTTCGTTTATATACTCATAAATCATATATTACGTATGTATGTACATAAATATATCTGCAAAGTAATTTAATATGTAATTCTATGACTATGGCATTCGAAAAAGTGTAATTAATTTTTTGACGAAATACAATAAATAGTTTATAAAACACAATTTTAAGCTTATATTGTGTACCTTTTACAAAAATATTTACAATCAAGCCCATTTTGAATAGAAAATTTTCTAGATACATTATTATTTACCAATTTTTAAAAGCATTCATCTCATAATAAATTCTTTTAAAACACAGTATATAAAATGTTCTAATTTCTTACTAATATTTAATAAAGTATATACATATGTGTATTTATATTTAGTTTATATGGAGCTATACTTACAGTTGCGTACACTTTTTCTTGCTTTTCAAAGAACCAGGTCTACAAATACGTGTTCGGCTAACAAAAGTATTAAAAATCGATTAAAATTTATAATTTTTAAAAATTACTGTTTACATAAAAATAACTGTTCATTTAAATAAAACAAAATATTTCTGAAAATCTACAATAAAATTAAATTGCATCTTTAGACATTAGATTCGTAGATTGGCAGGGGTCAACCTCAGAACAGATCATTGCAGTTCTAAAAACTAATTGTAACATCCCATCACTTATAAAGCGTCAGCTAGGTTTTCATTACAGATTCGTCCAAGTGCCATAAATTGCAATTTTTAAATACTTTGAGTAATTTTATTCTTACAAGTAAAATTAATTTTTGCCCTACTTTTTACAACTTATTTCAAATTTTTTAGAAAATCTTCTTTGTAATATGGCATTTGTAATAATATTACGTGCGCTGCACTGCGATAGATGACACTCTTAAATTCTTAAATAAAAATACATTCATCGTTCGTAATCATAATCAAAAAACATTATTATCAGTGTCATATGGTCACAACAACCATTGTCACCTTTCAAATTTTTATTTAATTTGGGTATTTTTTAGTTTTTCATTTTGTTATAATAATTTTTATTATCTTGCCATTGTTTATGACATTTTGACCATC